CCACCCTTGATGATGGATAAATTAATAACGAAGAAGCTCACATTGCCCAGATTGGCGTTGCCGGGCTCCCACCCTGGAACCAGGCCCAGGGTTGGGCCCAGCCCCAAAAAAGCCCGCCTTCCAGTCGGCCCACCACCCCAGAACGGTCCACAAGGGTAAGGTGCCATCTGATTTGGGTGGCGGTTGTGGGTGGGGACCCTGACGCCCCAAATCCCTGGACAACCACTCTGGCTATGGGACATGGAATGTCACCTTGCTGGGGGAGTAGAGCTTGAGCTTGTGCGGTAGGTTGAGCGATACCGACTACATATAGTCAGGCTCACCTCCACGCACAGCCTGGGCTCTGGGACCCAACTCCTTGAGAGAAGCTGGATTCTCTTATATTCTATATGTTATTTTACCTATGAATATCTAGTCACTCGCTTCAATAAAGAAATCCAAACTTTGTTGTTTGTTGTCCTTCAACATAAGAACACTTGAACGTTAGAGCTAACAGCTCTTTGAACCAGACCACGGTCATCAATAAGATCTGTTGCTCGATAGTTGACGATGAGGAACTCATTTGTTCGTCACCTCACTGGGAAATTTGTTAAGAGAAAGAAAAGAATAAATAATGAGGAGTAAGAAGAAGAAGTTGCTGGAACAGGCTAGCACTGTGAAGCAGCATCTAAAGATGCTAATGCTAACAACACGTCATGTTGACATTCCAACTGCAGGAAGTGAGATATCCAAGTCTATGTCATCTACCTTCATGAACAAGAAGACTGACTGTGGTCTGTGATGACGGTCCACTGACAGAACAACATTGTCCAGCTGTAAATCAACAAACTAAGACTGAATCTGGACTTTGGACCAAACTCTGCCCTGAGCACTGACACAGTGAATCAGTCTCTGTCATAGTTTCAACAACAGCCAATGGTCAATGTTTAAACCTGTGCTATAAAGTGCATTGAATGGTTATCAAGATAAGGCCCACACTATCAAACGGTGGAAAACTGTGGCCAAAAGTCAAAGTGTCCCCACATTGAATGGACTTTTACAAAATATGTCCTCACAATCACTAGCTCACCAGGAACAAAAACAAGTTTGAGAACCACCACTCTAAAGCCCTAGCATCTTAGGTCCACGCAGCAGAAGGCTTACCTCTCTTGCTCCATCCTCATCTTCATTGTCTCCTCCTCGGAAACCTGCGTCTCCTCCGACCTCCATTTGCTGGATCCTTTTCGATCCATCTTTTCCCCCAGGCGTTCATCTTTCCGGTGTTTCCCAAATCTGCGTTGGAAAGACATCAGTTCTTCATTAGCACATTTAGTGTCAGTGGATGTATGAGAGAAGAAGTGAAGAGTTGTTGTAGCTATGGAACCGAAGTACTTCTGACCTGTCGGAAATAAATACACACACACACACACATATATATATATATTAAATTTACACAGTCAACCAGCCCTGTTGATGGCAGAAAATGTAGAAATGTGTCAGTAAACTTAAGGACCTCCGTTTAATTAGGTAGACATGTATCCAAGTCAACAAAGAAAAGAAGTGTCTGGGGTCAGTGACGTGACGTGAGGTTCATGGCTGCTGAGACACTGACTCGTCCGCCGGCCGATTTTCAAATGTAAAAACCAAAAAGAGCTTATTTCACTATTAATCCAACAGCACTACCTGGTAATGGTTTATATCTATCAGAATTCCTCTTTCAATGACACTGACACCAACACAAACATATACACAGGAACATAATTGTCCTTGAAAGAACGTTTCTTTATACAAATGGATAGAGCACCTTCGTGTGTCTAAGAAATTCATATTTACTATAAACAAATTAAAGTATAGAGATGAGTGCAGCACAAATTTAATTTTGAAAAAAAAAGTCAGTTAGTTTTTAAACTTTAAATTCTGGCGCTTTAATCAAAGGTTGTCTATCAAAATGATAAGAATCTCTCGTTTTTTCCTCACCTTAGCACTGTGGATGCTAATGTTTAGTGTCCGTTGCTCATCCAATGACAAATGTCCTGTAAGAAACCGCCATCTTACAGGACAGACACACAGGCTCCATTTGAAAAGAACGACTCTTCTGCCCCGTAGTTTGAAGCTAACATTTTAGCTCCCGCGTTAGCCTCCGTCACTTATCACCTTCTGTTTAGACAGGAAGTCCAGTTTTGAGAAATGTTTCCGTCTTGAAATACTATCCATAGTCAGTCGAATTAGGCAGAGCATAAAAACCGCTGTTCTTCACCGACTACTGGCTCCAGTTTGGCGCCGACTTTCAATTGCCTGTTGACGCTGGCTGGAGAGCAACTGTCAGTTCACGTACGACCCCCTTGAGGTAAAGCAGAGTACTGCCTGCCACCCCTGCTGACTTTTCTCTGCACTTTC